CTCTTGTTACCCAGGCTGGAGTGCAATGGCGCAATCTCGGCTCACCGCAACCTCCGCCTCCTGGGTTCAGGCAGTTCTCCTGCCTCAACCTCCTGAGTAGCTGGGATTACAGGCACATGCCACCATGCCCAGCTAATGTTTTGTATTTTTAGTAGAGATGGGGTTTCACCATGTTGACCAGGATGGTCTCGATCTCTTGACCTCGTGATCCACCCGCCTCGGCCTCCCAAAGTGCAGGGATTACAGGCTTGAACCACCGCGCCCGGCAGTAGATTAGGTTTTTTATGTAGACTGTTGCATATAATCCTCCCATTTCTTTGGTATGGGGACTATTAATATATTAATTTTATGAAAACTTAGATTAGTTAGATAAAAACAAATTACAAAAGTCACCTAACCAGAATTCAAAGCAAGATTTCAACTAGTTTATCTGACTCCAAAGCAACATTACACTGCTTCTTTAAAAAATTAAAAATATATGGCCAGGTGCGGTGGCCTACGCCTGTAATCCCAGCACTTTGGGAGGCTGAGGCAAGTGGATCACCTGAGGTCAGGAGTTTAAGACCAGCCTGACCAACATGGAGAAACCCTGTCTCTACTAAAAATACAAAATTAGCCGGGTGTGGTGGTGCATGCCTGTAATCCCAGCTACTCAGGAGGCTGAGGCAGGAGAATTGCTTGAACCCAAGAGGTGGAGTTTGCAGTGAGCGGAGATCACGCCACTGCATTCCAGCCTGGGCAACAAAAGAAAAATACTGTCTCACTTTTAGTAAAAAAAAAAAAAAAAAGAGAAAGAAAGAAAGAAAAAAGAAAAGAAAATTTAAATATATATATATATAATATTTTGAACATATAATAGACACCTATGGTACAAATTTCAAAAGATTTAAAAAACAGTGAAAATGGAACCTCCCTCTCTCCCCTGTCCTCTTCCAGGAAGACAAGAATAGTTTCTTCTTTTGTTTTTTTTTTTTTTTTTAATTTTATTGAGATTTAATTTACATGCTATACAATTTGCCCACTTAAAGTGTACAATTCAGTGGCTTTTAGTATATTTACAGGTTGTACAATGACCACCACAATTTTAGAACATTTTCACTCCCCCCAAAGAAACCCCAAACCTCTTAGCTGTTCTTCCTCAATCTTCCATCCCTTTCAGACCTCAGCAACCACTAAACTATTTTCTGTTTCTATGGATTTGCCTATTCTGGATACTTCATATAAGTGGAATTATACAGTATGTGGTCTTTTGTGACTAGCTTGTTTCACTCAGCATGATGTTTTCAATTCATGTCATAGCATGTGTCACTACTTCATTTCTGTTTAGCCAAATAATATTCCATTGTATGAATACACCACGTTTTACTTATCCATTCATCAGTTGATGTTCATTTGGATTGTGTCTGCTTTTTGGTTATTATGACTAATGCTGCTATGAACATTTGTGTAAGAGTGTTTGTGAAAGATTTCTTGAGCACACTGCTTCTTATTTAAGATTGTGTAGTCAACCCCTACACAAAGATGCTGAAACAAATCCAGATATGTTTCTTGAAAGGTGCTACTCATGAGTTTTGTGAATGGCTTCCTTTGGGCAGACCCAAAAGGTCAGAGAGAAGCTGCCTTATCCTCCCTGATGTTGTACTGCGTGCATGGCACACTCTATGGGGTCCTGTCCTTCTGACATATAAAAGAGGACCTCTGTAGGACTCAGTGTGCCAGCCATGGGAAGCACACTACAGACAAGATTGGCATTGCCTTGTCAGTTTCAACACACTCTTCTTGCCCCTCCTTTGGGAGCCCAAGTCTCCTGGGAAAGCTCACCTTACTGAACCTTCCAAAAGCCTCCCATGACTGGTAGCATCTCCCCACAGAGATGGTTTCCATCTCATTGGTCCTGAAAGATCCAAGAGCTTTAGATCCCCAAAGCTGCTACTTTCCTTTGATGTGCTGGAGTAGGGAGGCAGATTGTTCTGATCTAGGCATGCCTTCCCTCCACTCATAGAAGCCATGGAGTCTGAATTTCATTCCTAAACTGAAGAGGAAGATCCCAGTCAACTACTGGGAATAGGATAAAGGTGAAATATCAAATAAAACTCTAAGGATAATTTATTCCCTTGGGAACCTTCATCATGGAAATAGTTACTATTTTGTTGAACTTACTATGTGTCAGACACTGTGTTAATAGGTTGTTTTTATTATTATTATTTTTTTTTTTTTTTTT